CATGAAGCGCCACCCGTCCCATCCGGCAGCGGTCCACAGCCACCATCACCACCACCATCACCCGGGCCGGAGGAAAAGCGACAACAAGGCCAGCACCTATGGGATAAACTACCTGCTCTCCAGCTGGACTAACGGCAATTATGACAACTCCGGCACGCCGTGGAAGACGAGGAAATATAACCCAGGGGTTGACGGGTGAGAAGAGCTTGATTTATTACAGCAGCAGCGGTCGGGACGGGGCGTTATAATGTTACGCTGTCTTTTTGTGGCCTTTTCGTGTGTGATAAAGTGTCAGGGGGCCTTTTCTGTCGTGTTGGGCCGGGGAATTAGCTTTAGCACGTTAGCCGGGGTGTCCTGGGTTCGGTTCGGAGCCGCTGCGGTCTGTGGGTGGGTCACTTGTGGAATGCGAGCGTCTGGTTACAGTTTGTAGCGATTCCGATTCGATCTTTTGATTCGGATCTTTATATCAATGAGTCTGTTGAACCGGTGTGTGCCACTCATCCTCGAATCGTTTGGAGCGGTTTCCAGTCAGTAACTCATTAAAACGAGAACCAAACATGCAAGTTCACGTCAATGAAGATTGTGACCCAGAACCACAAAAACCAGTCATAAGGGTCGATTTTTTTTAATTGAGATGTATACATCATCTGAAAGCTGAAGCTTTCCAGTGATGTTTGTTAGGATTGGACAATATCTGGCTGAGATGCAACTATTTGTAAATCTGGAATCTGAGGGTGCAAAACAAAAAAATCAATGTTGAAAAAAATTGGCTTTAAATTTGTCCAAATGAAGTTCTTGGCAATGCATATTACTAAACAAAAATTAAGTTTTGATATATTTACAGTAGGAAATTTACAAAATATCTTCATGGAACATGATCTTTACTTAATATCCTAATGTTTTTTGGCATAAAAGAAAAATCAATAATTTTGACCCATACAATGTATTGTTGGCTATTGCTACAAATATACCCCAGCGACCTAAGACTGCTTTTGTGCTCCAGGGTCACAATTTTGTTGAAGTGAATTACGATTAATTAGCTAAATCAAAGCAGTAACCAGTTAAATAATGATATACAGTCTTCTTAACACTTGATAGAAAATAAATATATAATAGGCATATTCAAATGTTCTAGTGTGGGTTCCGGAAATAAAAAAGCCTGTTCAGTTTCTTAAAGGGAAGTGATTTTTAGTGATGATAACTTCAAAATCTTTAAAGACTGATCTACTGTGAGCTACAAGGTTGTTAATCAGCAGTATATGCAATAGTTGAAGCCATTAACCACTTCTTTTTGTTTTTTCAACTTCTTTTAAATAATCATGTTCAACAGTGGCATTTTGGTGGAAAAGCTGCATTACCCATGATTCAGCAGAGAAATCTCAACCAATTTCACAATTTGGAAGACCAAATGTAAAGGTTGAATAATACTTTTTACAGTACATCTCATATAAATTTGTCAGCCACAGTAAATATTGCATTTTTTGCCATTCTGTTGAACATGTTTCTCTGTATGGTTATATTTGTCATAGGGTTTCCATGCATAATGTTTTTTTCAGACTTGGGATTTCTTAATGGTCATTTTTACTTCATTGTATTGCAATCTGGAGTATCTTTTCCATGTTTCAAGCATTAAATACTTCCGGCAGTTGGTTTTATCCATAGGGAATTGATTGGATTGTGAAATGTGGATGTTTTTATACCAGAATGGAGCCAGATCGGCTATTGGTTAGCATTTAACCAGTCAAGTTATTTGTCCTGTAGCCCAAGTGTATTTACTGTACAGGTTGTTAATGTTTGTTTTTTTTCTTTTACATTTTTAAAACAAATGTTAAGATTCTTGTTTTGACTCGTTGTGAAGGATATGCAATAACGACCTGTTCAATTGTACCAATGACCTTTCCATTATAATCATTTCTCATTTCCTCCAAGGTTGCATGAAGAAATCATGGACTTCTACAATTTCATGTCTCCTCGTCCTGAGGAGACCACCATGAGACAAGAGGTGGTAGACAGGATAGAGTCGGTCATCAAGGAGTTGTGGCCAACCGCTGAAGTAAGCCAGATTAAGAGTCGATGTCTTTAAAATTGAGCTATTAGCATTATAAATGAAAGTCAAAAATTCAAATGGATTTTTTTTATTTGTATGTACTCAGGTCCAGATTTTTGGCAGCTTTAGCACTGGACTCTTTCTCCCAACCAGGTAAATGAATGCGTGTTTGATCTTGCACGTTAAGTGACAACACAACAGTGAGATTTCGAACAGGACCGTTAGCAGATCTCAGTATGCGTAATGTTGCTCTCATGATCTGTTGTTGCTGTCATAACACTATTCACAGTTCGATGACTCACAGACTGGTGGGATCGAAGCACGTGCTTCATCATTATCACAACCATAGCCTGCTAGCCTTTTTTGGCTCTGAGCTGTCATTTTATGATCAATTGCAGTTTAACTCCAGATGTGAGGATGGCACAAATAGGGCTGGGCGATATAGCTAAAAAATTTATCAACGATATGTTTCATATCGTTCGGTATCAATAATTATTGACATTTTTTATAACCTTTTTTTAAAACAAAGAGCAATAGAAAATTTTTTTTTTAATTAAACCACTGTATTTTTTAATTAGCACAATTTGAGACAAACAACAAATATTTTTAGTTTTAACAATCGAACACAAAACAAAAATTAAACCAATATCTAATTTCTTATGTTTTATACGCAGATTAAATGGGTCTTAAAGAAACGTTTGTCTTGTCTCCCGAGGCCACAGGAGGGCGCAGTGAGCAAAATAATGCAGCGCATTTAAATTGTCAACGCAAGGAATTAACTCTATAAAAATAAACGTGCATTACGTCTAAATTAACTAATAATTTCGTAAATTGCATAAACAATTATGAACAAAACAGCATCATGTATTTATGCATTGCTTAATCCAAAGAGCCGAAGCGCCATTCACACAGACTGCATTTAAAAACATATGAGACGCAGTGAAAAGGAATAACCCGCCACAAATCCGTGACGTGTTTTCTAAAAGTTTAAACTGTTTTAAATTTGCATGGCTTTCTATAAATCTCTTGTGTGAGACGCGAGTGCAGCAGTCATATTTGTCCATCTAAAAAGTGTGCTGAATATGCATCTGTGTGAATGGCTTGGTTTCGGTTTGAACCTAATCAAGATCTTCTCCGCATTGAGCTTCTATATTTCTCTAATATTTTGAATGCATAACACAGCAGCGGTGCATCTCGTGGGCTAGACTAACAAAACATTCAAATGCAACAACGTCACTTACATCATTATCACCGCATCTTGTGCGCCACTGATGCACACCTAACATTCAAATGCAAATGTTTATTTTAAATTCGACTAATATTCGTTCTTTGTTCACAATCTTCTCATCATAGGCAGGCACAGCACTCATTTCAGCATGTGTTCGTCTTTGTGTGTGCTGTCTGCATCACTCATGGCACGGACCTATATCGGTAAAAAAAATTATATCGTTATCAAAGAAGGTGTACCGTCGATAAATATCGATACCGTTTTATCGCCTAGACACAAATGATCTTAGATCTGTAGCTTGCAAAACTTGTACAGTCCAAAAAAAAATTGGTCTCTAAAGCTGGGAAGATTTTCCTTGTGTTAATGTTAGTCAGTAGGCCTCATGTATTTGTCTGAACACTACTAAGACGACCATGAATGTGAGTTGTGTTCACAAATAGTATGCTATTTGATATTTTTGTTTTCATGTGATATGTGGGCTTTCGTTAGGCTTCATAGAGTGTGTTGATTTTGACAAATTGCTTAAACCTGAATCTGGCTGATTCTTTTACACTGTAGTGACATTGACCTGGTGGTGTTTGGGAAATGGGAGAAACCTCCGCTGCAGCAGCTGGAGCAGGCGCTCAGACAACACAATGTGGCAGAACCTTATTCCATCAAAGTTCTCGACAAAGCTACGGTACGAGTTTCCCTCTGTTGCTTTAACATCAACTACGCTCAGTTAAACAGTTTCATATTCAGTGGTTGTTGCTTGAATGGATCCCCTTTGGATGCTTTGCTTTAATTTTTAACATTTGGGGGATTCTTGGTCATTAATTGTTATATTCATATCTTTGAATTTTGAAGGTACCAATCATCAAACTGACAGATCAGGAGACCGAGGTGAAAGTGGACATAAGTTTTAACGTGGAGACGGGCATCAAAGCTGCTAGCTTCATCAAAGAATATGTGAAGGTAAAAAAAAAAATGGTTTTGGCATATTTTGTATATCTAATTTTACAAAATCTTGTAAAACTAGACTAAATGTATAGTTTCAATATGGGCTGAATGTCTGAATATTGTTTGCTGGTTTACTTTTTTTTTTAGTTATAGTGTACGTGTCAAATTTTGATTAACTACTAAATTTGAAGGACATGTCGTTCAATAATTTTAGTCTTGCTAAAGTAGCATATCACTTTGTTTTAGTCTCTAAAAATAAAATTTTCATTGACATTATTTGCAAAATGACAGCATGTCAAACTGTAGCGGACAATAGACAGTTCAACTTGACAGTAAAAACTTTTGTGATCGAGATTTCTATTTCAAATAAATTCCTTGTCAATTAAAGAATCCTGGAAAAAAAAAAAGCTATATAAATGCATCATAAAAAAAAAGTCTTAATGATCATGTGACACTGAAAACCGGTATAATGGCTGCAGAAAATTCAGCTTTTCGTGACAGGAATAAATTACATTTTAATTTTCAAATAGAAAACTTATTTTGAATTGTATTATTGTTTTGCTGTATTATTGGTCTTTTTGTTTAGTTCTAGTACATGGACTTTTGATAAAGTCATGTCATATTCAATATTTTTTTGTCCGTTTTACTTTCCACTTTCATTTTATTTGTAATAGTAATATTTTAATTGTCTATAATATGCAAAAAGATGAGAACATATCAAGCTTGAAACAGAGCCTTAATGACACATTGGTACTAATGTAATTTAGTTCAACTTTGCAAATGTTCCTTTTCTTTGTAAATGTAAGTTGTAAATTTTATGTCGTGACTATAGCTGATTAATCTTGCATATGTTTTAGTGAACAAAAGCAAAGCAGTTCAGTTTACCAGTCTTCAGTTCTTTCAGCTCATGTAGAACAATTCCCAACAGTCTTATGGTTACATTTTTGCATAAATCTTTCTACATTTTCTTGTGAAAACATTGTATGGGCATTGGCCATTGCAGTGTTACTTACTGCTGTACTTTAAGTCCCAAGCCAATAATGGCAGTCTGGCCATCACTGATAAAAGTGGTTTGATCTGATTCATTATACACAAAGGATATACAACTGAAAGGCTTGACTGTTGCTTAAAGTTTGGCTTCAAAGTCAAAATTAATTCTGTTATTGTAGGGACTCTGGAACTCTGTGTGGGGACGTTGCTTGTGTTTAGCTCCCAGTATGAAAGTATGCACAAAATTCTAATGGTTTTGATGTTGAAAAGAAGCATTTTGCTTTGGGACTGACCACGGTGTGGTGCTGCTGTTTATGTATATAAATATATCATATTTTTTCAGTTCATTTGACTAAAGGCAGGATGTACATTTTGAACCCTAATTGTATTTACATGTTTTATGTGTCCTAGATTTGTTCCATGTTTGCTAATTTGATGTCAGGCTTACAGTGTCAGTGTTAGGCTAAAGAGAGGAGGAGGGTGAAGCATAACTGAACATCTGTCAGCAAGCTTTCAGTGCAGATGTTTGAATAAGGAGATGCTCATTTCCTTGTGCATACCTGCTGTACTGCTCTGTGACCGCAAGGTCCCCTTCATAGCTCTCATCTGTGCATCTATCAGAGGAGATTTAGGGATAAAGGGTCTGATTCACTAAACGTGCATTACCAATCATAATTTAACTAACCTTTGTACTAAAATATATTGATAAACATGCTCCTTCAGATGGATTTTACAAGTTACATGATTATTGTAGGTGTAAAATTAAGTGTCCCAAAGCTGTCTTTTTTTTAAATCTTTTGAATCAGTCCAAAATAGTTGGTCCTCTCTCTCTCTCTCTATATATCTTTTATTATTTTTATTTTATTTAGTTAGTTAGTTAGTAAAACAAAAAAAGGTGTATGCAAAGGTAATGTCACAATGTGGCATTTTCTATGAAGGAATACAGAGAACAGCATCTGATTCACAAAAAGTATGGTGTGCATGTGCAACCAAAATAAAAAATGCACCGTGTAAATAAGTTCAGACCGCTCGTTTGCATACCTACATGTTTGACAGCTGTTAATGCACAATCACCGTTTTAGATCGACTAACTGTAATACTGTAAGATTTCCGTTCACTGTATTTTGTGCATACAAACACAAAATAATCCAAACAGTTATTTTTGGATGTTCAGTTCATGTCAGCAAGATCATATGTATTAGTTGAACTCTCATGAGCAAAGTAATTACAAGTGGGGAAATTTAGAAGCTTGGGGCTTAAATATAAAACTAAATATATGAGAGTGCTATTTATATAAATTTATCATAGCGTATAAAGATTCAATTTACAGCGCCTTCATGAATTGAATAAAAACAAAGCAAAAACGCACCTGATGCACATTCTTTAGTCATTATTTTGTGGAAGTAGTGTTAAATCTTGCTGATTTTTTTTTTTGTAGAAATGGTACTTCACACCTGATGTCATAATTATGACTTTCCAGCTTGTAAATATGAACTAGTGAGCTTCTTGCTGTCTACTGCCTACACTTATATTCTAGGGCAGCATCCTAAGTTAATTGGAACCTCATTGGTGATGAATGTGAAGGGCACTGAGACTCCGCTCGCTATTGGTTTCAAAGTAGTTTGATGTTAGCATATTTTTAAGGTAACACCTTAATAATTTAATAAACGTAATAGATGGCTCACACAGATATTTTGTCAACCCCTTTGAGTTAAAATATGGGCTTTTTAAAAAAAGTTAGACATCGTAAATGACTTCCTAACTCATAAATTCAAACTTCCCAGGAGGACTTGAAACACTCGTAGTGAATGACACCCAAAGCCTATAAGACGGTGTCGTTCTTACATGGTGGAGGAATGTAAGATGTATTGGCCCGTCCCCAGTTATCATAACACTTCACCTTATGTAAATATTTCTGCAGCTTCCGAACAGCTGCATTTAATCTACGTCTCACCTCTCGCACGTTTTTACCCCAATAAAGACAGTGACAGGTACAGCTCTCATCTGCATACAAGCACCTTCACCCTAGTTCTCAAACTCTTGATTTAATTAGCCACTTACCTTGTCCCCTCAGCACTTTGGGCCGCATAATTAAAGTCACCCAGGAAGTCATCAACTACAGGGAGTGGATCATAAAGAAGTGGGGTTGCAGACACAACGCCCGCATTGAGAGGAACAAGGGTGCGTCTGAATATGAAGACACTTTCTCACAATGTACCTGTTATGACTTCAGATACTAAGTGAATTTCATTCAGGATGTTTGTGTTTTTGATTGAACTTCATAATGTGCAGTACTCATTGATAAGGCATTATAGACCATCTGAGTGGACCAGTCACTGATGTTCTGGTGTTCAAGAAGTTTTACAGCAATGTTAGGCTTTGACTTTTAAGACGGCACATTACCCTAAATAGTCTAATAGTCTTATAGTCTTCCTCTAGTAAATCTGCCATGATAGTTATGTCAAAAAAACGTATTTTATTAATTCACAGAAACTAGGAGTATCCATACGTAAAATAATTACATTTTTAGAGTTTCAGAAGCCAGACGTGTTAAGAGCTAACTTTTTTTTAATTTTACGTTATTTTTCAGATGTTTGTGGTACATTGGATTAGGATTTTTGAAGAAAAAAAAATTCTACTTAATAAAATACTTTAGAACTTAGCATTAATAGAAAATTTGTATTGTCTTTATAAAAAAATAGCAAAGATGTTTTAAGATTAATTTACATAACACATCCGGGTCTAAATCACTTTTTTTTTTTATTATTATTAGGCTTCCTTATATATAAGTTTTTCTAGACTGCAGAAACTCTTTCGAAGGAAAAACAATAAGTATATAAATGTTAATATAAGGCCCTCTAGTGGACCCAGAACCCTGGTTAAGCACCACAGGTCTAGATTTTGAACAAATGAGAAATTAAGTAAATGTATTCTAAAGTTAATACAAGGAAATTAAACTGGACTATTTTGTTTGATGAAAGCATAACATTTCATTGGTCAACAAATGCCTGTGTCGGAGTGCTGTGCAGCAGCTGCTGTTTGCAGTAATGAAGTGTCACTTTGGCAAACCCTTGCATTTTGTTTTTACATTGCATTGATGTCAATAGATTTGAAACACTTTCTGATGCAGCGTAACTTTGTAGGTGCCCATGAAGTGCGTTTTATCCCTTTTACACCTTATTCTTGACTTTTGTGATTTAATGTGTTTTCTTAAACTGACGCTTGGTAGCTTAGTTTGGAAATGGAGTATGTGACCTTTTGAAAACTGGCTGTGGAGGTCCTCAGTCTGCTTTGACAGTCCGTTACCTGCTCTGCAGCGAATCCGCCCATAACCTGCTCTGATTCTGTATAATTTGTAGTCGTGCATGGTTGATGGTTTGGGTGTCTTCTGCATGCAGGTCCATCTCATAAAGACTCCGTGGGGCAGGTGGAGACAGGCACACTGCTGGTTGTAGGTGTGGAGGACCAGCAGCAGAGGGAATCTGTGTCTCCTCACAGCGCAGACTCCCCCATGTCCCTCTCCAGCCCTCAACAGCACTCCTCCGCCTCTTCTGCGTCCTCGCTGTCAGGCAGTGATATCGTAAGCATTGCCCTTCATCCATGTCCATACAACCCTATAAACATACTGCATTACACGGGATACAATGCATTACATTAAGGCCTCTAAATGATCTCAATCGAAACGTTTGTGAAACAGCTGTTGTACACCATCTCTACTAAATGCCTTCTGTTGTCTGATTGTTAGTTTATTTTTTATTGGAAGTAATAGGCCTTTTAGCATAATTGTAAAAACCTATCTTATTGGGTTGTGGTTCATGTGTCTTTCTGCTGTGAAAACTTTAATGACTTGTATAAAGCAAATGTAAGAATAGCTTTAATATTGTTGTTGGTGACATTTAAAGATGAGGGTCAAAGACGAGAGGTCCCAATTTGGTGTCTGCATTAAATTAAATAGTGAAAAATGATTTTATATGCATATAAAGTATATTAAATGTAAATAAAGTGTCCGCTTTAATGCTTCAAATAACTTTTGTGAAAATTTAAGATGTCAGAATATGGGTGAAAATAATCATCATTCAGTGTAACTGACGTATTTATGTAATTAAACTGTATTAAACTTTTTATTGTTTTAAATGATATTTATATGTATTTTATGTACATAGTCTGTTATGTGCTTATAAAGATCTCATTGATTTGCATGACAAGCTATCAGAATTTCATCTTTTGCCCATATTAATATCAGCTACTGCACCAAGGTATAAAAACCATAAAACCCTGATTTATCAAATACGATTATCAAAAATAATATAATTGTAAGATTTTGTCAAGAGGTTCAATACACTACTCCAATTTTTTTTTTAAAAGGGGGGATGGGGGGTATATATATATATATATATATGCCTCTAGTGCCATCTGAAATGTTCTTCTTAGGCTCCTATATTTAGATGAAATGAAATTGAATAGAACCTATTCATTGCCATTAAAGTGAAATTACTGAACATACACCTGAGAAAATGCTGCAATATAACAAAGAGTGAAAAATTTAAGGGGGTCTGAATACTTTCCATACCCACTGTATGTATATATATATATATTATATCCAGTAAAAGACTGACATATGAAATAATAGTGAGAAAATAAATATTTCGATATATAATTCTGACTATTATTTAATATGTCAGGCTTTTACAAGGTTAGATTGTCGTTCCCTCTCACATATTTGACTTCTGCTCCTTCAGGACTCTGACTCCACACCGTATGTCGCTCCACCTGTAGCCCCCTTCCTTCTCCAGATCCTGGCACCAGGTCCCCTGCCAGCAGCTCTTCAGATGGCCACGGGCAAAGCCAGCATCACGGCAGCACTCACCATGCCTCCGGCTGCCCAGGTGAGGGGCTGTTTTGGTTAATAGTTGAATTTGATGATGAAGATTCTTTGATGGGTAGGTAGCTTCCTCTCTGTGTTTCTCCAGGCGAGAGTGTCAATCCCCAGCAATCTTTCGGTCCACGCTCTACCTGGCAGACAGGTGTGTATGGCAGATGGACTACCCCCATACTTCCACATGCCCCCCCCTGCAGTCCCCCCAGCTCCCCCCAGTCCCCACCACCATCCCAAGGTAGGCAGTGCCCCGCGTGTGCTCTCCTCTAGATGTGTGTATATCTTCTTGACAGTGAGTCCGACTTTCCCTCCTTCATCAAGACTTCACAGTCTAGTCTAATGACAAAGTAAAAGGACGGTCTACTCCAAAATTAAATGTCAACATTAACTCACCCTCATGTCGTTTCAAACCTTTATGATTCACTTTCTTCTGAAGACTTTGGTAACCGAACAGTTTCAGTTCCCGTTGACTTCTATTGTATTTTTTGACCACACAGTGGAAGTCAATGGGATCCAGAGCTATCATCTTTTGTGTCCCACAGATGACAGACAGTCACACACAGGTTTGCAACAACATGATGGTAAGTAAATGATGACAAAATTAAAATTTTAGGGTGAACTATACTTTTAATTAAGAGGAAGAAATTCAGTGCCCAGCAATGTCAAATCAGCATCAAGAATTCAATTCAGGTTTTGAGAAAATTTATTTAAATGGAAAGTTTGTTGTTGTTGTTGTTTTTTATTCAAATGAGTAATGTTTCATCAGCTTGTCTTGCTCTACCCATGTATCAATACTAGAAAAACATCACTTAAGTTTAGATTTCTATAGCACTTTTCATAAAAAATCTTTTTAAAAATGCAAGTGATTACATAGCGTTATTTTTATTTGAAATACTTTGCTTTGTAAAATCAACTTCTAAATGTCTGTTCAGTAGTCCCTATAACATGACAATTTAATTTGTTGTGCTTCTAATTAAGTATGAAAAGCATTTGCAAATGTTGTACGAAACCAATATCACCACTACTCATCTTTGCACCAATAAAACGTGCAACACTTTGTTTTACTACCAAATTATATGTAATAATAGGCCCTATCTACTTATTATATTAATATCTAACTTGCATTGAAAAGGTTTCCGTGACCGCTCACCAGATCTCGGCAAAAATCTCATGAGTTATTCCAAAACATGATGAATGATGGGGTGTACACTAAGTCTCTAATAGTGCTCCAGAGTTTGGATTTAGTGTGCTTTAAGGGCCCTCTTTGCTGTTACTTTTGGCGTCTTTGCGGAGTAAAAATAATACAAATGAATATTACTTTTCAAAATAAGTTCTGTACCCAGACTTTCGAATGATATGCATTTGTTTGTTTGTTTTTTTTATAGTCCAGTTTTTATGTATGCTGAGCCATTTTTCAGATGCTAGCATCATCCTAAATTACCCTATCTTGTCTTATCTCCTGCAGACAGGTCCCAAGTTCCCGCTGAAGGGCTTCCACAACCCCGCCGTGGTGCACAGTCCCGTCCTTTCCAACCGAGGCCACATCCAGTACAACCGCCACACCTGGCGCCGCAGGAAGAGGGACAGTCTGCCAGCCAGCGTCAGCAGATAAAGACCTCGCGCCTCCCCTCCGGAAGCTCCCTCTCCACTCCTCGCTTCCTCTTCCACCCCTCCGGTCCCATCTTAAAACGACGAGAACTCCTTGAGCCCTCCTACTGATGGTGTGAGCACAGAGAGACCAGCGTTTGCAACCCAGCTCCTCGTTCAGTAGTTGTGGTGACGGTGGTGCTAAGTAGTTCAGTCTGCCATTGAGTCTGTGCATGTATATGTCGACTCGTGTGTTTGTTTTGTTTTGTTTTTTTTGTTTAACCTGTGCAGTCTTCCTGAGGAAGCTTCGAGAACAGGAACTGTTTTTTTTTTCCGATGGTCTAATCCACAACTTCCTGGTTGACAGGTGAAACGTTCCTTTTTTGTGTATGTTTGTGTGTGTTTCATGCGCTGTTGTTTTCCTGTCTTCATATTTTTGGTCTAAACGTTACACCCTTCACATGTGGGACAAACTGGATTCAGTGGATTTCAAGTGGTTATTTGTTTGTTGTATCGGGGTGTATGTATGTGTAACATTGGCTTCGAATCCTGCACTCGATGTTTCCAGAGATCCCCACCGTATTGACTGTACACATCACGCAACCTTAACGTTTTTTGTGCAATAACTTTCTGTATTTTCGTTCACTCTGGAAACATATTTAATTTAAGTTTTGTTTAGTTTTTTTTTTTTTTTTCTGTGTCCAGCATTTTTTTTGTAAAAACGTTTTTATTTTTGTAATGTTTTTAATTTTGTTCATCGTTTACAGATCCTGTCAGACAGGCTCCTTAAGGGGGGAAAAGTCCGTTTTAAAACCGTTTTTGAGAGTTTATATTCCCTATTACCCTTTTCTCTGCATAAATTGCACCTGGAAGAGAGCGAGTTAAAGCGGCCAGTGTAGATCTCGCAGAACGACTTGCAGGTGTCGCCATTTCCCACTTTGTGTTGAGCTTCAGAGTCTCGTCTGTTGCATTTATTCGTCTCATTCTTCTTTAAGGTTGTACTTGTGTGGAATTGAGGCTTTAGGACTTGGATTTAACAGATTGAGAACCGACTGATGCTCAAGCCCTTAGTCTGTACGCGCTTTCATTTATATATATATATGTGTGTGTGTGTCTGTCCTTTTTAAATCGCTCTAGGTAAGTGTGAGACGTGAATTATTTTAGGGAAGCTCTAATGAACGTGCGAGGGGACTCCAGATCAGTGCAGCTTTATGCAAGGTGCCCTAATCAGACCTTTACGACTTCTGATCGGGCACCCGAATCAGACTAGTGGAGTAAGGGAATTTATTTTGATTCCATTCTGGAATCTTGACATGCATTTATGGCCAGGTACTTGCGCTAATATATGCCTTTTTGGTAATTACCTATTCCTGTACTGTATTGTATTGTTTAGTTTTTTTTTTGGTTCTGTTTGTATATGGCACACTAAAACTGTATTGCTGTTGCTCAGAACATCACAGGCATACAGGTTATTGTTACTATGCAAGTGGAGTTTTGAAAACCTCTCTTCCTGTGTCCCTCACGACGGCCCTTTGCTTGTAAATCTTGTCAAAGTGACCGTTAACGGACCCAGGCCTGAGAGCGACGCATCAAGGTACACGTGAACAGTTCCTGTATGCAAGTTCAGTCTGTTTCGATGGAGGAAAAACAGCCGGATGTCTTGTCTGGAGTTTTTGCGGAACAGATATTTCCTCCTGGAGATCAACCGGACTATTTTACTGCTGTTACAATACTACAACCATGACTTGCGGTCTGTATGGAATGACTTTGATTGCCACAAACTTACGTGAAGCCTTTTACAAAGTCATATCTTATACGGAGACTATGGATTGTCCTTGTAACTCGCCTGCCTATCAATGCAATAGGGCAAATGTTACTCTAATAGCAGTTTCTGCTTTAGATAGAACCAGCATCTTTTGCAAAATGGGTCAGACATTGAGGCAACTCTCCCCCTCCTTCGGTTCACATAAGGACCTACTTTATCGGTGATTTTGTGTGAATGAAAATGGCTCCCTGTTTTTCCTGAGTGAATCTGTGGAGGTGTGTTGGAAAGGTGGAAATGTTTCACTCTGTAATGGTTTGACATTTGTGGTGATGTACTTGCTTGATACAGTGTGACACTCCTCATTGAATTTCAATGATGGATTTTAAATGTAACCCTTTTTTTGCTGACGTCTGTTGTCGCAGTGGCCAAAAGCACTCCTTGTCAATCCTTAACTGAAAGCCCTCAATGTGGCCACCCATCATCTTAAGAGGTCAGACGGAGGAATTGTTTTTGTTTTCCTTCAGTATTTTTATGTAATTTTTTTTCTATTTTATTTTTTAAATAAACATCTTAAAACCATGCATGCAGTTGCTTGCGGTTTATTTTTCCGTCTTAATTGTTGTTTGATTAAATGAAATATTAAATCATGCCTTACTGGATCAGCACTAATGGCAGATGTTTTTGGGCAATGTTGCCATCATCGGGCAACCAGGTGAAACTCAGTTGCCTGACAAAATTGCTCAAAAAGTTGCCCTGTGTATCATCAGTCTTGCTGAGGTTTTACCACTTGATGGTGAGCTTGCACTTCATGAAAAGTCAGAGCTCTTTAGTTAGCACTCGAAAGAGAAAAACATAAGCTGATAATAAATCATTCTTATTTGCTAATAAGGAATCGGGCTACCACAAGGATGTTTGTGCATGAATTGGAAAAAATTATAATAATGGTTTTCTTTAACCCGGTAATGCCTGACACGTAATGATGATCAGATTTTTTTTTTAATGGAACAGTTTATTGAACAATATACATTTAAGAATGCATTAAAAGTTTGCATAAGTGTTGGTGGTTGAAGTTGAGAACCGCTGTCATAGTTGATTTATTAAGCTTTTATGGCTCATATTTTATGACTCTTCAAAATAGCACCTCAGTTTTATTCAGAGGCACAGACTGAGCAAAACTATGCTGTTTGGTGTAGATGCTCTTATTAATATGATCAAAATGTGATTAAATTCCTACGTTTACATTTAGTCATTTTGCAGACGCTTTTATCCAAAGCGACTTACAATTGGGGAATACATAAAGCGATTCATCTTAAAGAGGCAAACAGTCACAGGAAGTGTTCGCAATGCCAAGTTTCAGGCATTGTTTAAATCAGTACAAGCTAGAAAGGGAAGGATTAAATAGAGTAGCAACGCATGGTCAAGTAGTGTCGAAAAGAGTTTTCAGTTGTCGATTGAAAATTGTCAGGGATTCAGCATACCGGATAGGGGTGGGAAGATCATTCCACCAGCCAGGAGTGGTGAACGAGAATGTTCTGGAAAGTGATTTTGAGCCTCTCTGTGATGGTACCACGAGGCGTCGCTCGCTAGCCGATCTCAGACTTCTGGATGGGATGTAGATTCATAGTAGTGAGTGGAAGTAGGTGGGGGCTGAGCCTGTGGCTGTTCTATATGCAAGCATCAATGTCTTGAACTTAATGCGAGCCGCAACCGATAGCCAGTGCAAGGAGATAAAGAGAGGCGTAACATGGGCTCTTTGGGCTCATTGAAAACCAGTTGTGCCGCTGCATTCTGAATCATTTGTAGAGGTTTGATTGTGCTTGATGGAAGTCCAGCCAGAAGAGCATTGCAGTAGTCCAGCCTAGAAATGACAAGGGCCTGGACAAGAAATTGTGCAGCGTGCTCCATTAGAAAGGGCCTGATATTTCTGATGTTGTGTAGTGCAAACCTGCAAGATCGAGCAGTCTTTGCAATCTGGTCTTTGAAGGTCAGCTGGTCATCAAAGATTACACCAAGATTTCTGACCGAAGTTGATGGGGTAATTGTAGAAGAATCTAGCTGGATGGTGAAATCATGCTGTAGAGTTGGAGTGGCAGGGAAGACAAGAAGCTCAGTCTTTGCCAGGTTGAGCTGTAGGTGATGTTCTTTCATCCATGCTGAGATGTCCGCCAGGCAGCCTGAGATCCGTGCAGCTACCGTTGGATCATCTGGTTGAAATGAGAGATAGAGCTGTGTGTCATCAGCATAGCAATGGTAGGAGAAGCCATGTGCCTGTATGATGGGACCCAGTGATGTAGTGTATATGGAGAAGAGGAGGGGTCCAATAGCTGATCCCTGAGGAACCCCAGTGACCAGTTGTTGTGCTTTAGATACCTCCCCTCCCCAGTCCACCCTGTGATGCCCAGTGATGAGAGGGCGGACGGGAGGATCTGATTATTCACAGTGTCAAAAGCAGCAGATAGATCCAGCAAAATAAGAACTGATGATTTGGAATCAGTTTTTGCAATCTGCACGGCTTCCTTTACTGACCACTCCTGAAACCTGACTGGTTAGCATCCAGTTTGTTGT